AAAGTAAAAAAGCAAGCCACTAGGTCCAGGACTCAACCATGGTAGTCCAGTGCCTTAACCACGATGCCACCTGCTGTTCCCTAAAGGAGGTTTTTAAAAAGCTTATTTCTTTAATGTGTAGAAGAGACACAGAGAGACAATACCCCAACAAAGTCCTGTTGTCACAGTCCACCCTAGCCCTCAGCCAGCCCTGGATCATGGGCACACACTTGCCTGGTATATTCAAGGGTACCTCGGGACATGGACCTAAACCTTCCTCTGTGGGTCAGCCTCACACTGTCACGTTTTACCTTGATTTGGCCCCAAACTGTATCATTTTAAAGATGTTATGGTTATGCTTACCCCTTCCTCTGTTCTTCTGATGTCTATATTAATTTATGTGATCTTCCCGTAGTAACTAGGAGGAATATTTTGTGAATATTTTAAGCAGGTTGTAGTTTAAATAATCAGCCAAGAAGATACAAGATGTTTATGTGGAAGACACCTTGTTTGAGATGAACAAATCTCTCTCTCACTGTTTGTTTGTTTGCCATAGGGCATCTGGGCTTGTCAGAGAGAGGGAAAGTGAGAAATGACCCTCCAAAGGGGATGGCCACACCACAGTTCTTTCTTTGTTCTCTTCCTGGAATTTGGTGCATGCATGCACATGCACCCAGCATGATTTTCTTCTTCTTCTCTCTCTCTCTTTTTATTTTTTAAGTCACCGGATCTGGGACTCGAACCGCAGTCAACTACATGGGAGCCCAGCGACATAGCCATTGCACTAACTGCTGGTCCCTCTCTTTCTTTTTTAAAAAGAATTATTTATTTATTTAATTCCATTTGTTGTTGTTGTTATTATTTTTTAATTTGACCAGAGAGAGATGGGGGGGGGTGGGGGGGGAGCAACCAAGCTCCCAGGTCCAAGACTCAAACCACGGTCAGCCATGTGGGAATCCAGCACCTTTAACCACCACGCCACCTGTCGGCTCCCCCAGTGTGATTTTCAAGCAGCCAAGTCAGGACTTGAACTGCAGTTATCTATGAGGGAGTCCAGTGCTTTAACCACCGTGCCATCTGCTGGCCCCTGTTCAGATAGTTTTAAGTTTAATTTTAGAAGGCATGCTTGTTCTGCCTTGAGGAATGATGTCTATGGGAAATGCCCACAGTTTTTGATGAGAAGCCCCCTTTGTGTCTTGGGCTCTTTTTGCCTCCCAGGTCCTCCTTTCTCACCCACATCTGGGATCACCATGTCTCTGACACTTCCCCCCTAAACCTGTGAGGGATGAAAGGGTTCTGCGCCCGCTGTGCCCTACAGCACGATCAGGACCAGCCACGTCTCTGCTGCTTCATCCCTGTGTTAAAGCCAGTGGTGTAGATACACGAGCCCAAGATTTGAAAACTGGACCCTAAGTAGTTCTTGGTTCAACCGAAGGGATTCAAGGCCAGGGCCTGACAATTGAGAGGCCACTGGAAATCAGAATGAACATAGGGTAGAGAGCTGGGAGACCCAATTCTCACCTGGCCCCTGCTGCTAACTTTGTTACTGAGGACAAGAGTTTCATGAGGATAAAGTAAATTAATGATCAGTTATATAAAAAAATGACATCAAATATGGAACGAAAAGCTTCAATGTGTTCATCTTTGATATTTGATTTGGTAATCCCATTTCTAGAAGTTTAGCCTAAAGAAATATCAGGAATATTGAAAAATTAATATATTCCTTCTTCTCCGAGAGAATACCAAATGGCGATGATGCTGGTGCAGCGGCAGGGCCCGGAGGCCCTGGGGGTCCTGGGATAAGGAGGTCGCGGTGGCTTCCATGGGGCCAGGGCCAGGCCCATGGTCGTGGCTGTGGTCGGGGCCATGGCTGCAGAGCTTGTGGAGGCAAGGCTGAGGACAAGGAGTGGATCCCGGTCACCAAGCTGGGCTTCCTGGTCAGAGACATGAAGATCAAATCCCTGGAGGAGGTCTCTTCTCCCTGCCCATCAAGGAGTCCGAGATTATCGACTTCTTCCTGGGAGCATCTCTCAAGGGTGAGGTTCTGAAGATCACGCCTGTGCAGAAGCAGACTCGTGCTGGCCAGCAGACCAGGTTCAAGGCATTTGTCGCCGTTGGGGCCCACAATGGCCATGTTGGTTTGGGCGTGAAGTGCTCCAAGGACGTGGCCACTGCCATCCGAGGGGCTTCATCCTGGCTAAACTCTCCACTGTCCCAGTGTGGAGAGGCTACTAGGGGAACAAGATTGGCATGCCCCACACTGTCCCCTGCAAGGTGACCAGCTGCTGTGGCTCTGTGCTGTTGCGCCTCATTCCTACCCCCAGGGGCACTGGCATTGTCTCCGCTCCTGTGCCCAAGAAGCTGCTGCTGATGGCTGGCATCCATGACTGCTACACCTCAACCCGGGGCTGCACTGCCATCCTGGGCAACTTCGCCAAGGCCACCTTTGATGCCATCTCCAAGACCTACAGCTATTTGATCCCAACCTCTGGAAAGAGACCGTGTTCACCAAGTCTCCCTATCAGGAATTCACCGGCCATCTTGCCAGGACCCACACCAGAGTCTCCATGCAGAGGACCCAGGCTCCAACTGTGACCATAATATAGGGTTTTCTATCTTTCTTTCTTCCTTCCTTCCTTTCTTTCTTTTTTTAAAAATAATTATTTATTCATTTATTTAATTCCACTTGTTATCATTATTTTTAATTTGATGAGAGAGAGAGAAAGGGAAAGTGAGAAAGCAAGCCACCACAGTCCCTCACGTGGGAGTCTAGCACCTTTAATCACCATGCTACCTGCCGGCCCCAACATAGGGTTTTCATACAGTGGAAATAAAGTGAATTAAGTCTGAAAGAAAAAAAAAAGAAATATTAATGTACACAAATGTTCACTACTATCTTTAATTTACAACACAGGATTAGAAGCAAGCTAAATAAGCTACCACAGGGGACTGGCTGACTATAAATATCCATGGAATCACCAATTACACAGTTATTATAATATTTTTGGAAGTAGCTACATGATAGAGAAAAAATATTCACCATCATTTATAAAAAGAGATGATAGCCAGCCCCATAGGTTTTTTTCATAATATCTGTTCATTGAACTTTTTGAAAACCTCATTTGTATATGAATAAGTGCATATGTGTTTTTGTAAGCCTGTGTATGTGTGTGTGTGTGTCTAGGCTTGGGGTCTGGGCTTTGTCAACCCATGCTGTTGAGACCTGTCTGGGTGCTTCTGGAGAACAATGCCATTGTCAAGGTGTACTTTGCAGGAGGCTCAGAGGCTTCCTGGGAGAGAGCACGTCCTGAAGGAAGAAGTAGGACAATTGGGGTGATAAGCTGACTTGCTAGCACTACAGTGGGGCGTTCTAAGTGGCCCCTCTCATGGCCCCCACCGGATGTGTGCCCAGTCCTGTGGGTTTCAGGTCTGAATAAACACAGAGCTCTGGAAAGCACTGGGCAGTTGTGTACCTGGCTTGAGAGAAAGAACAGAACTATCATGTGGGGAAAGCTTGGGGACCTCTTGGGAACTCCCACCAACTCCATGGGACTTGGCTGGGCTGGGAGACTGAGTCAGCAGGTGGACATGGTGAGTGAGCCACATTTGTGCCACTCCTGTTCTCATGACTTTATACTGTTCCTAGAGAGCTGAGTCGGGAAAGTCGAGAAATTTGTGTGGACATAAGGGGAGAGCAGAAAGTTAACAGAAGGCATGCAGAATGTTAGCAGCATTTATTTTTGGAGAGTGGAATTGTAGATGCTGTTATCTTTATTTATATATATATCATAAGAATTATCTATTCATGGGACCAGCAGTTAGCGTAATGGTTGTGTCGCTGGACTCCCACGTAGTCGACTGCAGTTCACATCCCGGACCCAGTGGCTTAAACTCAAGCCGGGCGCGTGTGCTTGCATGCCCAAGATCCCGAGAGAGAATGGAGGAGAAGGGATTGCGGTGTGACCATCCCCCCGGGGGGTGATTTCTTGCTTTCTATCTCTCTGTCTCTCTCTCTCTCTGTCTGGTGAGCGCAAGCACCCTATAGCAAAAACCTCTCCAAAAAAAGAAAAAAAAAGAATTATCTATTCATTTAATTCCATTTTGTTATTGTTATTTTTTAATTTGACCAGAGAGAGACAGAAAGAGAGAAAAGGAAAGTAAGAAAGCAAGCCACCAGGTCCAGGACCCAAACCATAATCAGCCATGTGAGAATCCAGCACTTGTAACCACCACACCACCTGCCAGTCCTGATGCTGTTAACTTTTTCATACTTGATTTTTTCAAAAACTTGAACACTTTTTATAATAAAAATAAGTGACTGCTTTAAGACATATACCATTAAGAAGTTGGAGCAAAGTAACTAATTCTCCAAAGATGTGAGTAGCCGGGAGCAGTAGCCTGCTCCGGACAGGTAGAAGGCAGGTGTACTGTTCTATTAAAATACTGTTGAGGTGACAGGTACTGAGGTGCCAAGGACAACTGCACTGGAAGTCACAGGGCCAGCCTTTCTTCCCTGCAGCTGTAGATAGGAGGCAGGTGTGGACACTTGCTCCCTACATTGCATTCCCCCCTTTTGAGCAAGAGTACTCCCAAGAGCCAGGGCACATGCAGCCAGGTTGGAGGAAATCTGCTCACTGCGGAGGAGCCCCAGACAGAAGAGTCTGCCTCTGTGGACTGAGGGAGGTTCGGGGAGTCAGAATGGAGCAAAGGAACTGCCCATGGCCAGGCTAGCTGGCCTCAGGTGAGGCACTGGTGTGGAGCAGGCAGGTGTGCAGGGTATGCAGGTGTGTGGGAGCTTGGTCGGGCCTAGAGCTGTGGAGGGCGGTGTCCTAGAGCACTGCCCTGCCGGAAGGCTCACAGGATCCAGGGTTGGTCTGAGCGCGGCTGCTCAGGTATACTTGTCTGAATACACCTTGATGACAGCCAGCAGAAAAACCATATCCCGAAAGCACTGCCGCTGCTTTCATCGCTCCATGGTTGGCCACTTCTGTTGGCTGATTGTATTTTATTTTTCCTGCCAGCCACCCATGGGCCACAGTCATCCAGGCTGCTATGAGGAAGTACCCGAACCCCATGAACCCCTGCGTCGTGGGCGTGGACGTGCTGGAGCGCAGCGTGGATGGCCATGGCCGGCTGCACAGCCAGCGCCTGCTTAGCACGGAGTGGGGACTGCCTGGCCTCGTGAAAGCGGTGAGCCCCACCGCCAGGATCCCAGCTGTGCTGTTCAGGCCTGGACATCCCATTTCTGTATACTCAGTCAGTTATCCTTCAAATGCATCCCAATTCCTGCCCCTTACCACCGTGCCCCAGCCCGGCCCAAGCCCCCCCACCTCCCCTTAGGGGTTCTCCAGTGGGCCCTGTCTCACCTCTGGCCAGGCACCCTACCAAGACACCACAGAACAATTCCGTTCTGGAGGCTGCCAGTCCAGGTCTAGGTGTGGCACACTGAGTTTCCTGGGAGGGAGGAATCTGCCCCAGGCCTCTCAGCCCCTCCCTCCAAATCCAGTCACTTTCTGAGGTGCTGGGGATAGGATTTCAACACAGGAATGTTGAGGGGACACAGCTCAGCCCTCAGAGCCACTGGGGAGGTCATGGGAAATGTAAAATAGAAGTCAGCTTTCTTTGGTACACCCCAAATACTCACTGACCTCCCTGCCTCTCTAGTCCAAGTCTTTGCTTGGCCTTAGGGCTGCAAGTCTGACCTATCTGTCCTCAGCCCCTGGCTGTTCCTAGAGCTCCTGCTGCCTCAGGGCCTGGATGTCCTGACCAGGTCACCCCAGGCTCCATATCACCTCCTTCTCTGTGGATTCTGCCCAGACACCACCTGCCCCGTCTAAAGGAGGGGACCCCAGGTTTTGCAGCCCTCACCAGTTTTATTTTTTAATACATTCAGTTCTATTTGAATTCATATATTTATTTAATGTCTGTTACCTGCTGGGACAGAAGCACCCTGAGGACAGGTTTTCTCTCTTCTGTCTACTGCATCGCAGTTATATCACTTACTGAGTAACCAGGTAAATTGACTAGTAAGTGACATGGTGTCATGTGTTTGATGCTATGAAGTAGAATTTTTAACATATCACTATGCTAGTTTTGCTTTTGTTATAGATTTTGGGAACCAGTAGGACTTTGACATACATCAAAGAACATTCTGTGGTGGATCCAGTGGAAAAGAGAATGGAACTTTGTTCCACCAATGTAAGCAATGGCCCAAGATGAGAAAGGTGCTTAGTGTTTCTCGGTGATGGTGCGTAATGCCCTCGTTTTTTTCCCAGCCCACCTTTGGTCTCAGTGATCAGTTATTTTTAATAGAAAGGCTACATTTATTTAGTGGTATTTTATTTTATTCAAACCTATTAATAAACATAATAGACAAATGCACACAAACAGCCCAGCCACTGTGGCACCTGGTAAAGCGAGTGCCTTGGAAGACTGGAAATTGTGTGGCAGTCACAAGTTTGGATCCTCAGACTGGCTTGAAAATACGCTGAGTGTAAGTGTGTTCTGGTGCCCAGGATCCTGAGGAGCTGAGGTGCTGGGGTAAAGGGATTGTGGCATGGTAAAGAATGGGTCAAGGGTGCTTCTCTCCTTTGCCTTGGCATGTATGTGCACATACTCAGTCTCTAAAAAAAGAGAAAAGAGAAATACACATAATGGGGACCAGCAGTTTGTGTAATGGCTATGTCGCTGGACTCCCATGTAGTCGACCATGGTTCGAGTCCCAGACCTGGTGGCTTAAACTCATGTCGGGCGCGTGTGCGGGTGTGCCCAAGATCCCGAGAGGAGAATGGAGGAGAAGGGATTGCGGCGTGGCCATCCCCCGTGGGAGGTGATTTCTCACTTTCTGTTTCTCTGTCTGTCTCTGTCTTTCTGGTGAGCACACACTCCCTATAGCAAAAACCTGTCAAAAAAAAAAAAAAAGAAATGCACATAATGATGAATTGTTACAAAAGGAAATACCGGGTAACCAGGCAGATTAAGCAAAAGTCTATGACCAACCTCTAACCCCCTTTGTGCTCACCCCAGCATAACCACTCTCCTGACTTCCAACACAAGATCATTCTTAGCAGTCTTTTTATTTATTTTTTAGTTTATTCATTCATTTTCTTCAAGAAGGTTGGGGAGTCTTCACACTGTGATCCTCAGGCGAGTCTTCAGTGTGATCCTCCAAGCCCTGCAGCCAGCCAGTCTAACGGGTGTGCCTGGTGTGTTCGAGTAGACCCCGGACGCCAGTAGGAGCTCTCCAGTGTGGCCTCCAGCACTGACTTCACCACCACAGTCAGGCCAGCCATCTTTTTTGAGGTTTATTTGTTTATCTCTTCTGAGAAAGAGACAGACATCCCCAGCAGGGTGTCCACTCTGCAGTCCACTGCCACCCCGGATCGTGCACACACACACACACACACACACACACACACACACAGGCTTACAGTATACAGAGAGTCCTTGAAAAGTGAACCTGGGATGTTTCTGACTGGGTCCAGTACCGCAGAGCATTGCATTACTGCCACAACACCAGCTGGTCCTTAGCAGTTATTTCTAAAGCTACTTCCCCCTTTCTCTCATTTTAAAAAAATGTGTATTGGCCTAATGCAAATATCTTTAAATTTTTTTTCTAAAGAATAATTTTACTTAACTTTATTTATTTATTTATTTTAATTTGACCAGAGAGGGACAGAGAGAGAGAGAGAGAAAGGTCTGGGACTTGAACCATGGTCAGCCATGTGGGAGTCCAATGCCCTTAACCTCCACACCACCTGCTGGCCCTGGCCTAATGCAAATTTATAGAACATGTTGGGGAAAACGCATGGGCTAGGAAGACATTTATTTCGTAAAATAATATTTTTGTTAAACATAGAAACGGGCTATTATGGTTGAAGTCGTAACTCAAGCCTCGTCTGTGGAGTTTTCTTCCTGGTTAACCACCCCACCCCAGCCTCTCACCCATCTTCTCTGTACCCAGATCCACAGCCTTGATTCAAGTTACCGTTCACTTATTTGTTCCAAAACAGTGCCTGGTGGCCTCCATGTGCCAGGCATCATGGTAGAGGTGGGGGATGCATGGATTATAAGGTGATCCTGCCCTTGTGGTTTATAATCCGATAGTGGATAACAAGCTGTGTAGGAGGAGGCATGTAGACAGCACGGGCAGAAGCTCCTGAAGTGGCTGTGTGAGACCTTTGTAGCGGAGCTGACAGGGAGGCGGGACTTGAAGGCTGGCAGTTTTCCAGACAGACTGGCACCCTTGAGCCTTGGGATTACGGTAGCTCAGAGTAGCACAGATGGGTAGTGCAGACCAAGAGGGAGAAGGTGTGGGAGACCTACGGCTAGAGAGGGGCAGAATCAAAGAAGGCTGAGGAGCTGAAACTTTTATTTTTTGCAGTGATAGGCAGCCTTCGAGAGTTTGTTACAGGACATAATAGACTGTGTTGACAGGATTGCTCTGGCAGCCTTGTGGAGAGAGGAATGGGAGATGTTGGGATCTGAGCCAGGGAGACCAGTAGTCTAGGGGGCATCATCCAGGTTCACGGTGGTGGGAGGCCATCTGGACACAGATAGAGGGTAAATGGGGGGTGGTACATGGGGAGGAAGGGCACGGAGGGGTCAGGGTGCTGCTTAGTTCCCTGGTTTTGGCACCCAGCTATTGGTGGGGCTGTCATGCAGGACACGTCTGAGAAGAGAGGTCGGTTTGGCTTTGAACATCCCCAGTGTGAAGTGTCTGAAACTGAGGGTGCAGGATGGTAGGTGCTGTAGTGGGGATGGGGTGACACCCACTCAAGGCCCAGGGGCATGAGTGCTGATGAGCCAGGACAGACAGAGGCTATGGCTGAACAGGAACAGTGCTCAGAGAAGGAGGGACAGGGCAAGTACATTACAGGAAGAGCAAAGGATGATGAAGCCACCCGAGAGGTCTCCCATCTTTTCAGCCTTTTCTGTGGGGCCCAGTGTTTGAAACAGAGACAGACCTGCTCTGGGTCCTGGAAATTACTCACCTTTGTGCCCCAAACGGTGTCTTGAGAGCAACTTTGAACCTCTTAGGAGGCTGTGAGAACCCTTGCCCAGCCTCCCATAGAAGTAATCAGAGTGTCCTTGTGTTGAAAGGTGAGGTTCCAAACTGGGTGAGGATTTCAGTTAGAGATCATTTTGTGAACATACAATAAATGTTTCTCACTGCTCAAAGATTATCTTGCCTCTTTTTTTTTTTTTTTTTTTTTTTTGGGGGTTTTTTTTGCATCTGGTAGGACTAC